TCCGGAGGCTGGTGAGTGAGGCCCGACCGAGGGCTTTGGGGGACAGCAGCCCTGGACCCTCCAATCCACTCTTGGCTCTGAAATTCCTCCTTTCTCTGTAGGAGAGCATATGCTCGGTGCTTTGCTCAGCCCCCAAACAATATCTCTATGGGAGGGCCAAGAGGTTCCATCATTCAATTCCTGTTACAGCAGGTACCCTGCTGAGCTGCCACCCACAAACCTTAGCCATTATTATCATGAGCACAATCCAAGCTAAGTACAGCGGGGGTGGTGTCATGTGCCTGTAATCTCGGCACCCTGGGAGGCTGAGGCAGGAGGGTCACAACTTCCAGCCCAGTCTGGAGGAGTAGCTCAGTGCAAAGACCTGGGTATAAGCACTAGGACACCCACACACACACACACACACACACACACACACACACACACAAGGCTAAAAAGCTAAAAAGCAGTCATGATCCTAATCCAAGAATTTGAAACCAATAGGTCTTTTTTCTACTTAGCATGGCTGGAAGGGCCCCGCTCCACCTCCACCACTACTCCAGTTCTCCCCCTGGAGTCCTTGGAATGGTTTTTGTTTTGGAAACTTCCTGAGACAATTGTGGATTTGCATGTAGTTCTGAGACAGGGTGCACAGCACACAGGGTTTATCCAATTTCCCCAGAATGGCAACACAGTTTGTAATCTTGGAGTAGGTTTTCAGCTTGGATCACCCAGTCCCAGATTATCGGCAGAAGTAGGACTGCATTATGGATGTTTCTTCAAATTCCCAAAGATTCTATATAACCTCTGACTACGGTGTCTTCTGGCTGTGTGTCTCTGTGTGTGTGTGTGTGTGTGTGTGTGTGTGTGTGTTTGACCCAGGGCCTTCATACTCAGGCATATTCCCAGTCCTTTTATTTTTATTGAAAAAAGCAAGGTCTTGCTAAATCACTAAACTGCCCAGGCTGGGCTAGGACTTGGAACCCTCCTGCCTCAGGCTCTCTGAGTGCTGGGAGTACTGTACATTCCCTGCTGACCCTTTTTAGAGGTGGGAAAAACAAGCCAGCGGGAGCTAAAGGGGCAGAGGCCACCTCTTGGGGAGGGCTATTGGAGGAGGACTCGGGCCCAGAGTGAGCCCGTGCCCTCCCGCAGGAGTCCCAGGCCTCGTGGCTGGATTCCGTGGTACCACACCTGGCGGAGGTGCTGCAGCTGGAGGACACGCCCAGCATTCAGGTGGAGGTGGCCGTGCTGGTGCGTGACTACCCCGACATCAGGTGAGAGCCAGCCCGCGGCCGCGGCCAGGCCCAGTCTCCACAGCCCTGGCCTCCATCCCTGTTTCCTGCCTCTTGGGCCAGGGCGGGAGGCAGCGAGCGTGTCTGACGGCCGTTTCCTGCTGGAACCAGGGCATTATTAATACAATTTCCCTCCTTCTCCTGCCGCCGTCGCCACCACTGCTGCCGCCACCTCCAGGGCTCACAAACAAACAGGCAGTCACAGGAAGCCCGGGGCAGGGGGGTGCAGGCTGCCCAGCAGGAAGGGCCTGCCTGGCAGGGAGCCTGGGGAACACGGGGACACACTGGGCACCACATGTGCAGTGGGGCAGCCTCGGGCTCCATCCAGGACCTTGTGGGCCGCTTTCCTATCTGTGTGTCACTCTCGGAGCCCCTGAGAGAATAGTGTGTCGTCGTGGGATTCTTGGGAAATTCATCATCGTCGTCGTCAGTGACGGTTCTCAGTTTTTGTTTTGTTTTGGTGTTGGGGGGACAGCGTCTCGCTAAGTTGAGCTTTCAATTCTCCTGCCTCAGCCTCCCAGGATGCTGGGCTTACAGGTGTGCACCACCCTCTGTAAGAGGTGGAATTGAAGCTATTTTAGGAACTGTGTGCTAATAACTCACCTGCAGCACGCCACTACCAGTTAGCAAGTGTCAGGGTGGGGATTTGAACCCAGGCAGCTGACTGGCTGGAAAACCAGTACCCTGGACGCCATTCTACACCAACATCTCGCCATCTGTGAGTGCCCGACGGTGGCGGTGGTGACAGCAGCCGGACCAGGGAACAGCCCTCAGAATGGGGAGTTTGAGGGGTTGAGGGCCTGACTCCGGGAAACAGGTCACGTCCTTGGAAGGCAGGGATCTCGGAGCCAGTGTCCCAAAGGGTCCCAGTGCCCCTCCTGCTGGTGGAGGCCTGTGATAAGCGTGCTGGTACCCGGATGGAAACTCGGACGCGCTAAACGGGGTGGGGTGGGGTGGGGCGGAGACTGAAGGTTCATTTAATCCAGGGCAGAGTCTTGGGGTGAGGGGGGAAGGCTCTGGAGCTGGTGTGAGGGGCGGCTCTGGGATGAGGGGAGGGCCAGGGAGGTGACGATGGGGGGTAGGGGACACAGGGGTTCCTCGGGTTCTGGCTCAGGTGGGGTGGACAGGTGGGTCCGGGACCCTGTGCACCTGTCGGTCCCTGTCCCCAGGCGGAAGCACGTGGCGGCCCTGCTGGACATCCGTGGCCTGCACAGCGCAGCTGCCCGTCAGGAGATCCTGGCTGTGGCCCGGGACCTGGAGCTGTCTGAGGGCGGAGCCCTGCCGCCCTCTCGGGACCGCGCTTTCTTCTCCGACATCCCTGTGCCACGCCGGTCCTTCTGCCTCGGCCTCCCTCTCGCCCTGGGCCGCCTGCCCTTGTCCCGGCTGGCCAGGCCCAGCTGGGCTTGTCTCCCCCTGGGGCCCCAACCCCCGTCGCCACGGAGACCCCGGGCCCAGCGCTGAGGCTCGCCCAGCCCTGTGCCTCAATGTCCCCAGTTTGCTGCTCATACCCTGTGCCTCCCTGCCTGGGACACAGGCCCTTGCGTGGCAGGATCTTTCGGGGTCTCCTTGCCCGTCCCC